GGGAAGGTGCTGGAGAGTCGGTGTCGACACTTGGCAAAGTCAACAAACCCCAAGATGGAAACCGAGGCAGGGAGTGAGAAACCACACGAACTAGACTCCTGCTCCCTGATGTCTTCCATGTGCTCCTATCGTTCAAGAGAGGTTTTGGAAACCGAATTTATTATGTGACAAACTATTTATTTGCGGTTGAGCAATTCCTTCAGTTTCAAGCGAAATTATTAATGTACTATTAAAATCAGCATTAAGAGAAGGATCCCAGATTTATAAAGGATTTTTGATCCCTTCTTCTCAAATCTATGTCTTAAAGAACATTCACCTAAAGCTACTTTGGCCGATTTCTGGGGACTGGATTGCTGTGATTGTTGCCTTCACACCCATCTGTGTGCTCATCTGCACTGTTCAAATTCATTAATAGCAAGAAGCACGCATGAGTTCTTCAGAAATATTAGTGATTTTTTTTTCTTTAAAAAAAGAAGGTATAGCCAGGTGTGGTGGTGCACACCTGTAATCTCAGACACTCGGGAAGCTGAGGCAAGAGGATTTTGAGTTCAAGGCCAGCCTCAGCAATTCAACAAGGTTCTAAGCAACTTAGTGAGACCCTGTCTCTAAATAAAAAGTAAAAAGGGCTGGGGGTGTGGCTCAGTGGTTAAGTGCCCCTGGGTTCAACCCCTGGTACAACAAGAGTGTGAGTGTGTGTGTGTGTGTGTGTGTGTGTCTTGTGGTTAATGGTGAGTGAGGAAATCTGCTTGGCTTAGTACCCCCTCTTTGTGCTCTTCTGGTTTTTGTTTGTTTCAGTAAAAATGAGACTAATGGAGCGGCGGGGGAGGGGCCTGACTGTCAGCCTGACTTACTTTATGGTTTTTATCTTCAAAAGTGCTTCTTCAAATAAAATATGGGGGTAAGTGTGGCGTTAGCCAGGGGTTGGGGTGGGCAGAGGAGGCTGGAGTAAACATCACCCCAAAGGGCAGAGTGACCAGCGGAGTGACCAGAGGGCACAGGCTTTGGACCAGCGGAGCTGAGCGGCCCCTTCGTTCCCCGGCAGTGGGTGCTGATCTACTACAGCAGGCAGGAGATGGGCAGGCTTGGGAACGTCAGGCCCTCCAGTCCCCAGAGCCAACAGGGAAACTGGCCCATAACGGCTGCACCACCCTTCCTTGTACCCCAGGCCACTCTGGACAGGAGATCCTCCCCCTCTGGAGATGTCACACGCCAAGCTCTGCTCTGGCACCACCACCTCACCGTCCACCCTGCAGGCCCCCCGGCACCCCCTGCTCCCAGACCCCAGCTCCTGTCTTTCTCCCCACCCTTGGGTGCCTTTCCCCTCCCTCCTGGTGGCAGGGCAGCTGTGGAGGCCTCCCTGGGTTACTGAGGGACACCCCTGGGCAGCATCTCCCTCAGAAGCAGAGGGTACAGGCTTTGTGTCCGGAGGACCAGAGTCCAGCGAGTGTCCAGCGGTCATGGCGGAGGACACCTGGACCTACCAGGGCTCTCGTGGCTACTGCTCACTCGCATGTTCACAACCGCACAAAGCCAAGACTCTGAAGCACAGGAGTCAGGAAGGCCCGGCCTCTGCAGCCTTGCCTGGGAGGACGGGTGAGTGGGGGAAGGAATGGGGCAGACGGAAGGCACCCCAGAAGCCAGCCTCTGCCCTGGTAGGAGCTGGGCACCAGCCGACCCCATGCTGGAGAGCCGGGCCAGGTGGCTCCTGGGCTCTCCCCCCGTCCCCAGCCCCGCAGCTCCTGCTTCTGTTGTGACAACCTCCTCTCCTGCCCTTTCCTCTGCTCTTGCTTTTTTCAAACTGTGGTTTATCGGGAGAATGGTTCAAATGGGGTGATAAGAAAACAGCTGAGGTTGGACAGCTGGAGACCAAGCAGTTACCGCCCTGGGCTGAGGGACTCTGACCCAGGACAGAGAGCTGCCCTGATTGGCCCAGATCACGTCCATTCGGGTCAGTGCAGGGTTTCTGCTGGGCTTCCGGAGAGACTGGCCGGAGCTCCCGGGTCTTGTATTACGGGGTCCCGCTGATGTCAGCTGGTTTAAGGTGAACGGTCTGCAGGCAGGCTGCAGGTGAGACAGGTTCTGGGGACGTCCTGAGTGTGCTTTCCTTGGCTCCTGGGCTCCGCTGTCCCCGCTGCTGCCCCACCCTCAGGCCTCCTGTGGTGCTGAGTCAGCTGCCCGGGCTCCTGGCTGCACACCTGTTGGTCTGAGTTCAGAGAACTGGGGTGGCTTGGCCTAAGTCTGCGTGGTCACTCTGATCTGGCCAAGTTGGGCCCTGGGCCCTCTCCACACGGTGGGGAGGGCATCCTGACCAGCCAGGCTCGGGTCACATGCCACATCCCAGCTGTTAGAACTCCCCAGATTGCACATATGAGCTCCCCAAAGGGGGACAGGCACCGGGTGATCCTTCTTCACTGGCCTCGGGGTCACAGGATGGGACCCTAGCCTCCAGGTGGGAGGTAGTGAGCCCACCTTCCCACATCTCTGCGAGGACAGCAGAGCTGATGACTGTCACCACCAAGGAGCAGGAAAGGGACACTGACTTTTCCTCGGCTCTGGGTTACTTTCACCAGGAAGAACACTCCCCTTCCTGGGTGCTTCCCGGTCTGAGGGACGGCCCAGGACTGTCCCTGCAGCGGCCGGCTTCCAGCCTTTGCCACAGGGTGACCTGTCCTCCCGGAGGCTTGGGATGTGTCTTGCACTCATTTCCATCACCGTGGCCTTAAGGGTCCTGCCTGGAGCTCCCCACTTCTGTAAAGAAACACGGTTCCTGTTGCCACCCTGTGATGTCACCAAAATCTACTTGGGTCTTGTCTGCTGTTCGTGATGAGCAGCAAATTCTGGGCTCTAATACCTCCCTGTCCTCCAGGAACACAACACAGTGACCAGGCCCACCTCACTCTGCTCCGTTTCCCAAAGACAGAATTAAAGCATGAGTTCTGGCAAAACAACTTTATTGTTTAAAAAATAAATGTGACATTTGACATAGAAAAAGGCATTTAAAAAACTGTTTTGAAAGGTCGAAAAAGGCTTTTGTTCTGAATGTGTCTCATCCTGTTAGCTGTTAAGTTTCCATAAAACCCAGGGGTAGCGACAGCTGGGCTCCTTCTTGCTGCTGGGCAGTGGGTGGCTGTCACACCCACTGACTCCCTCCACCAAGAAGAGGACCTCCCTCTTCTCCCCCCACAGAGGCCCAGATCCCAGGTTGCCCGGTGTGGGGCAGAGAGCAGGGACACAGTCCAGGTCACAGCCAGCCCCGGACACACACACACACACACACACACACACACACACACACACACACGCTGGTTGTCCACGGCCCCAGCTCCCCAGCACGAGTCCAACTCAAGCTTCCAGTGGGAGCCACAGCTCCTCCCTCCCCCCAGGCAAGGGCAGGACAACCCTGGTGCCCACTCCCACCCCGTTCTTCCAGTGGGCACAGTGGGCAGAGAGTGGGGGAGCTGACTGCCTGCTTCATGTCCCAGGAAAACAAGGGCAGAGGAGTTCTGGGAACCGCGGCCCAGGGCCCCTCCCCCGCCTCCCGTCCCACCAGCTTCATTTTGGGGGGGCAAAGACCAGAGCCACACGCAGCTGTGGCGCTGCGCACCTCCACTTGCCACGCCAGCCACCAGCCGTCGGAACCCACAGCTCTCTGCCCCTCCCATAGCAAGGGACAGAAAGATGCAGAGATTTCCTTCAGAGCACCCCGAGAGCAACGCAAGGGCTTAACGAAAGCTCATCCCTGGGAATCAGAGTAAGCAGAACTAATGAATCCAGTGTTCCAAACCTCCGTCCCGCCTTGGTCACACACAGACAGGCACATCCCCAGACCCGTTTGCAGACGGATGCCTCCCCAGCGTTGGCTGGAGGGACGTCTCATGCAGGGCACTGCTGGCTCTGTGTCTTGCCAGACTCTCTGAGAGGCACAAGCCCCTCAGCTCCAAGGAGTGGGCTCAGCTGGACAGGAGCACCCAGGAGCTTCTCCCTCACACCCACCGCCACGGAGCGCTGACAGTACCCAGGGCCGGGGTGTGCATGTTCCCGGGAGGCACCTTCAAGAACAGATGCTGCTCTGGGCTCGGTCCCTTCGTGGGAGGCGCTCCTCACAGGGCAGACTGAAGCGATGGGAGGGCCAGCTCCGCTCCAGAGTGGGAAGGGCTGTAGGACATGGCACCCTCAGGTGTGTGGCAGAAAGGAAGCAGCACAACACAGTGACCAGCCCGGACCGGCCCCGAGCCACCAAATGGAGGTTGGATGGTGCAGGCTGATCCCTGGGCTGACAACAGGGGCTCAGTGGGTGCACGGTCGGAGCAGGCGGGTGGACGAGAGGACACAGATGTGCCTCCAGCTTAAAGCTCAGGGCCCCCAGAGCAGAGTAGAGCCCACCAAGAAGTCTAGACTGCATTGCTGGCTCAGGTGACCTCTTGGGTTCTCATCAGCTGCCAAGGCTCTGGGGAAGACCTTCCTACCCCAGGGGCTGCCTCCCGCCCCTGCACAAAGCCATCACCAAGTGCCTGTGTCCTCAGGGTCTGGGTGCTGGTGTTGAACAGCTGCAGGGACAGCTGGAGGGAGCGGGGTGTGCAAGGCCAGGGTCAGTGCCCCTCATGGGCCATGTGGCCCAGGATGTTGGACGCAGCGGCCTATTCAGGCCCTTAGCCTCTCTGCAGCCTTGCTTTCAGGGAAGGCAGGAGGTGACCGAGCAGGCCATCCCATGCCCTTCCTTGCCACGGGTTCCTTTCCTGACGCAGACACTGCCGGGCACATTCCCACCAGTGGCTAACGGCACACAGGGCCCATCTGCTGGGCAAAGTGGTTGCAGGGCTGCGTATGTGAGGTGGCACATATATGTAGGAGAACCAAACAATGTTTCCGAAGACTAAATTCTAGGAAACAGCCCTGCAAGTTTTTCTGGAAGCTTCTCCCTTCCCTTCTCTTCCAGCTCTCTGAAGAACAGGGAAAGGAGGGAAGCAAGACAGACAAAAGGGAATTCTCGGACCAGGGACTGAAATTTTGGAATGAAAACCCTCCAGGAAATCTTCTGATTTATTAGTCCAAACAATAGGAAGCTTTGATTGTGCTCCTGATTTGGGGGCCCAAGAGTGGGAACAAAGCATTTCTGTGGAGCAAGGAGCAGGAGGTCAACAAGATGAGACGGTTGATCTTGTAGTTAGCAGAAACACTGCCCTCCAGGTGGGAAATCGGAATCCAGCTACAACCACCAGAAGGTCCCCCAAGTCTCTGAGGCAATTGTACACCGGTGGCAATAATGTTTGCTCTGCAGATACTCACAAGGTCCCTCAAGGAGGGGCCTCTGTGCACTAGTCCTGACCAGAGAAACTGACCCCACCAACGGGAGAGGAGGAGGCACTGCCCAGTGTAGGCAACAAGGTCTGGAATTGAGAGACCCGTTCTGAGTGGGGCTGTGGGCTGGCCGGTGGTCACCAGACAGCATCCTTAACCTGTGCTCAGTTGAAAACCATCAGTAACCAAGGGTGCCACCACCCACGTCGAGCTGTCCAGAGGACTGAGCAAGATGGTGCTGTGCGCAGTGTTTGGCAAGGGTCCCTCTGTGAAGAACACACAGCATCTCCCAGACAAGCTGCAGGTTCCCGCTTCAGACTGCCTCGTCACCATCTCCCACCCCTCCCCAAGGAAGGGAGCGACCCTGCAGCAGAGCCTCACGCCAGCAGGTTGGAGCAGCATCCAGATTGCCTCTGCCTGAGCCAGGCCAAGGGCAAACACCCCAAGGCCCAGGCTAGACAGCTGCCTCCGGTCCTCCATCGCTGGGAGCCCCAGGTGGGAGCTGCAGGACAGAAGGCTCCAGCCGCAGGGCTGCCCACCTGTGGGAACTGCCCATGTACCTCCCTCTGAGCCTGGGCGTCCTGAGTTCCTAAGAGGGTAGAAAGCTGGACTAGGTGGGCGCTTGTCAAGCTCTGTGTCAACTCAAGCCCGTGGACTGCAAGCAGCACTTTTTAAATGAAAAAAACAGAAAACAGAGGGCATCCCAGGTCCTGAGGGTAAGAATCCGTTTGTGAAACTGGCATGAGACACACATTTGTACACAGATGTGACTGAGTCGTGATTCATATTGCGGATCACAGTCCAAATGGCTGAGGCGCCCATGCTCGGTGGCCCTGGCTCTGGGCCGCTCTGCCGCCCGCCCCTGGGTGAAGGGGAAAGGCGGGGGGAGCCAGGGATACTCAGACCCTGGCGATATGACCCTCCTATATGATTGATGGAGGCTCCTGATCTGGAAGTCTTTGGCGTTCGTGCCCCACGACTCCTGCACACTCTCCACAGATAAAGGGCCGTTCTGAGGCAAGTCACTCCTGAGTAAGAACAGGACACTCTGGCCCCTGACTGGCAGTGACTCACTCTCATTCAGAAACGGTGACACAAAGCCCACTCACCCTTGCTCCTGGAGATACTGGGGCACGTGGAGGCCCCTTTCGCTCTGGTTTTGCAACCACAGAGGAATGAGTCCTTAAAGAACAGATGGGGGCGTGCTGCGGTCAAGCTCCGAGGGAGGCAGATTGGGAAATGAAAGGAAATGTGAAGAACTGAAGAACCGGCGCTGGCCTGGCTGGGGATCGCTGCCAGGGCCAGGTTGGTGGCGGCGTGCTGGCGCCCCCTCATGGCCAGAGGGGGAACTTCGGCTGCAATCAAGGGCCCTGAGTGCTACGTAAAACGCCCCCCACCCCCAGCCTAGGTGCTGCTCTGCCAGGGGCAGCTCTCTTAGAGAGATGTTCTGTCGGGACCGGGTCGCTGGAGGACCAAGTAAGAATTTTAAGGTTGCCTTTCACGTGGGAGCTCTGGCTTGGGCAACTATTACACACACACACACACACACACACACACACCTCCAGTGAAATTGAGAATTGTTTTCAATCTGTAGCCTGGAAAAAAGTGTAAACAGTTGAAAGTAGAGAAACAGATTTCCTGATGCTCCTCACCACTGAAAGCCCTCCCCGGCCTTGTGGGCATGACTAAGTGGGCAGTGGAAACAGAAAGGACAAGTGTCCGGGGAACTTGGCTTTTTGTTGTTGGCTTTCTTGGAAACAGTTTCAGAACCCACCCTCCCTGACCTTGGGGGTTTCAGGGAGACCCCTACACTGGCCACCCACTGAGGCCCAGTCTTAGGCAAGGCGTTGGCAGTGCAGTGGGAGAGGCCAGGAGACAGGAGGTCAGCAGGCTCAAGCCAGGTGGCCTGAGAGGTGGTGTGAAGAGGGCTGCCATCAGCTTGTCCCCTACTGCAGCCAGTTGGCCAAATAAGCCCTCAGAAAGGGGCAGAGACGCGGCCACCCCACAGGGCTACTTGATCTGAGTCCCTTCATGTCACATCTCCCCACATCAGGGAATGACGTAACTGGACCTTCCCTGGCAAAACAGCCACTGAGAGTGGAAACCCCCACCGAGGTACCCTGAGATGTGAATGACCCTGTCACCATAGGGATCCCTGGAATGGCTGAATCATGCACACCCAGGACGAACCAGAAGGGGGATGTGCTGGAGAGAGGACAGTGGGCAGAGGGTCAGGTCCTTCCTGAGGGCACTGGGGAGCCAGACCCCCACCCCCCAGGGCAAGGCAGTTCTCAGCTGAGAAAAGAAGCCACTAACAGGTACTAAGGGTTTCTGGGGACTTTTGCGGTCCCAGAACTTATTGCTGTTTTCCTGTTACCAACGCTTATCTCTATAGAGGGAGAGGCAGAGGGGCAGCAGGGAAATGGAAGGGCCTGGGGACCCAGAGGACAGAGGCACCCAGAGACAGAGCAGGTGGAGGCACCTGGAAGAGGACTGGACGTTTGGCTGAATGTGCAGAGGCTGGATGAGGGGGTGGCTAGAGGAGGCAGGGGTTGGCCTGCTAGGTGTTGGGACCGTCTGCAGCCTCCCTGACACAGGGCAGAGCACGCAGGGGGCCTTTGTACCCTTCTCTCTATCAACCCAGGCCCTCTCCAAAGGAGCCAGTTCAAGGACTGCCTCCCTGGGAAACCACCCCTGATGGACCTCGCCCACTGCGTTCCCTCTTCTGACTGCTGGCTGCGTCTCCCATCTCTCTTTGCCTGGTTGATACTGACGTGTAACTGCTGGGGGTCTTTCCTTGAGGTTTCTCTCCTGACCTGGATTTGAGGCACCTCAAGAGCAGAGATCCCATTTCGCCTGTTTCTGTACCTGCCCATCACAACCAGGTGGGACCAATGGTCACAGGGGCTGGGAGGGGGCCTTTGGGCCTGACACTGGGCACATTGGACAGGTGGGAAGGTTGGGGGGCAGGGAGACGGCAGGTGAGAGAAAGCCCAGGAACAAGCAAAGGGAGAGGATGTCCGCATCATCCCAGAAAGGCCTCAAAGTCCATGTACCAAACCAGCTGGCCAGATCTAGGCAGCACGCCTGAGATGGGCCACTTCTTGGGCTCGTGGCCCACACGGCTCACCAGCATGGCAATCTCACGCTTCCTCCTGCCCATGACCAGGACTGCCACCTTCTTGGCACGGTTGATGAGGGGCAGGCTGAGGCTCATGCGCTGGTGTGGCCTGAAGGGGCTCTCGGTCAGCACCACCAGCTGCTCGCCATCCAGGCCAGCAGGTGACTGTGGGAAGAGGGAGGCCGTGTGCCCATCGGTGCCCATGCCCAACAGTACCAGGTCGAAGCTGCTGTTGGTCACCAGGGCTGAGATCTCCCTGGCGTAGGTCTGGGCGCCCTGGTCCTCCTCGGCACAGAGCCGCTGGTGCAGGTGCACAGGCATGGGGTGGATGTTGTAGTAGGGGACCCTGACATGCTGCAGCAGGTGAGCTTGCAGGCCCTGGAAGTTGGACTCCGGGTCCGAGAGCGGGACGCAGCGCTCGTCGGCCAGCCACAGGTGCGTGTGGGCCCAGGGGAAGCCGAAGTGCCCCGTGGCCAGCTGCTGGAACAGGGCTATGGGGCTTGAGCCACCTGAGAGCGCCAGGTGGAACTTGCCAAAGCGCCGCACCGCCTGCACTGCAGTGGCCTCGATGTCCTCGGCCAGCTTCGAGATCAGCTCCTCAGGCCAGGCGGACACGAGCGGGCTCTCTCGGTATGTCGCTCTGAGAACCTGGAAGTCACTAGGCCTTGGGGCAGACCCTGGCCCTGGCACCAGCTGCTCTGGCTGCTGCTGGGAAAAGAAGAGCTGGCCACCACTGAACTCAAGGTCCAACAAATGGCCACTCTCGGCCCCCGCGGGGTAGAGGCGTGGGGCCTCACGGGCCAGGCTGTCCAGCAAGGGGGTCCAGAAGACCCAGGAGGCTAGCAAGTTCTCCGTGGTGATGAAGGACTCCTTTCGGCGGTGGAAGATGTGCGACAGGAGGATGGAGTAGGCATCCTGCTCCCCCACGGGGCTGTAGGCGTAGTAATCCGACAGGGGGCGACCGAACAGGCGGAGCCCGGGCCGGTCCTGCACCTCCCTCCAGGTCTGGGTGGGCAGCGACGGCCTGAACAGGTTCCGGCTGACCAGGATGGCAGGGTGGCCCAGCTCGCCGTGTCCGATGTGGAAGATGATCTGCCGGGGCAGACACTGGCACTGCTCCGAGGCCCAGTGCCTCTCGCTCTGGACACAAAACGCCCGGTTCTTGAACAGGACGCGAACGTAGCCCACTCTCTCATCCAAGGCCTTGCCGGACATCAGGATGAAAGGAACGCCCTCCCAGCGGAGGTTGTCCACGTGGACAAGGACGGCTGCAGTGGGGAAATGGCAGAGGGTGACCCCGCAGCCCCAGGAGCCGGAGGCGCCCGTCCACCTCTGTGCTGCCCTCATCTGCCTGCCCCCGCTCCTCTTCCCAGTCAGTGCTCAAAACCAGCCTGGGGCCGACTCCGTGGCTGTGACACCCGCTCCCTGGAGCCCCTCCGGGAGCCCTGGTCTCACTGGCCTCGCAATCTGCAGCCTGGAGACTTGAGAAGTCCCACATGGGGCCAGCAGGGTGAGGGATCCTGACACCTGGGGGCAGGGGACGTCCCGCAGGGGAAGGCACATCCCCCCTCTGCCTCCTTTGGGAGCCTGCAGGATGCCCTGAGCAAGGCCTGAGGTGGAGGCCGGGGAGGGCCGTGTGGGGCACGTCCTGCTGGTGCGCCAGAGCTGACGGCCCTGCACACCAGGCTCCAGCCTGGCTCGGCTGCGGGGCTTCACTGGCCGCTCCTTTCCTCACCTGCGGAGCGGGGACCACAGCCACGGCTGCCTCACGGGTCTGTGCGCGCAGGGATTAAGTGGGGTGATGTTTGATGCCCAGTCCCTCAAACAGGCTCCACGAGCAGCTGCAGCTCCCCTGTGGGCATTCCCTGCGGAGGAGGCAGCCCTCTCCCGGAAAGTGAGGAGCCTCCGGGACTGTCCAGAGAATGGCTCCGGTGGGCATCTGCTGGCCAGTGTGTGCATTCACAGGAAGTGTGTCTGGCGATACCTGACAGAGGTCTGCGCCTCCCTTGGGTGGCCAGACGTTAGCTCCATGAGAGCAGCACCTGGTCTGAGCCTCACAGAAGCCTCACAGAGCCTCTGGAAGCTTCCGTGGGCTGGGCCTGAACAGAGGCCAACACGAAAACAGGACGTCCTTAGCACGTCCTCTGCCCAGAGAGTGCCCTTGGTGACCCACTGCCTTAGATTGTAGAAGGGCAGAGGGGCAGGGCCGGTTGCCATGCACTGAGCATCCCTGCCACTCAAGCCCAAGGGCACTGGGCTTGGAAAGCCGCCTCCCGCTGCTGGCCGCCCCACAGCCCGGGCCCTGGAGCCCACCTGCGAAGGTCGGTGTCAGGCTGTGGAAGCTGTCTGGCTTCTGCAGCTCTCTGCGCACCTGCCCGCTGTAGGTCTGATACTGGCCCAGGACGGCGCTGCCCTTCTGCAGGCCCCGCAGGGCCTGGAAGGCCTGGAGCTTGTGCCGCAGCACGGCCTCCGAGCTGCTGACGTTGGGGGGCAGCTCCATGGCCACGAGCGTGAGGATCTCCGTCAGGTGGTTCTGCAGGGTGTCGCGGATGACGCCGTATTCCTCGTAGAAGCTGGTGCGACCTGAGCGGGAGGGAGGTTCTGTCAAGAGGACCCCCCACATCTGTCCTGGCATCCCTGTTCTCAGTCCAGAGGGCCTGTGCCAAGGAGGGATGCCAGGGCAAACCTGAACAGGGACGGGAAGGGGAGGCTGGGAGCCACCACCCTTCCACGAGAAATCCCCTAAGAGAAGGCGCCAGGTCCCTGAGCCCCTCCAGGAATCTGTGTGGGGAGGCTCCAGTGCCAGACTGCGTGTGCAGACACGTGCCAGGCCCTGGCCCAGCTCCTGCTGGGCTGGCAGGAGGCTCAGCATAGGAGCGGGCTGTGGCCCTGGTCTGACTGCCCCTTCCTAGTGTCTGATCTCGGCAGCAAACTTGACTTTTACTTCTGCATCCTGCCACCTAGTGGGGTGACAAATGCCACCCGATGGCCTGGTGCACACACACCCAGGGCAACTGCACGGAGGTGGGAAGGAGGGAAAGTGGGAAGGAGAAAAAGGAAGGAAACAGAAGTACAGACTGCGACAGAAGGGAAAGGGAAAGCCCCTCTGAGACAGGAGGCGTCCGGGGAGCAGCAGATCAGCTGCAGGACCTTGCAGTGCACCCTCCCTGAGGCAGGAAGGAGCTGGGCCTCCCGGGGCAGATAAAGGCCAGCAGGATGGACACAGTGGGTGCTGAGGCTGAGGAGGAGCCCAGGGCTGGCGGGATGAGGCAAGGAGGCTGGACTTTGTTCCAGGCTCCAGGCAAAAGCACGGGAGTGTTCGAAGCAAGCCAGACCCAGCCCACGTTAGAGGAGGGGTCTGGCCTGCTGGGGGGAGAAGGTTGGAGAAGCAGGGAGACCACGGAAGAGGCTGCTCAGCTGCCTTGAGGGGAGGAGAAGGGGCACCCGCTGGAGCTGACAGACAGGGAAAGCGTGAGCAAGAAGAAGGGACCAAAGATAGGTGCTAGAACCTGGGCTTAGGCAACAGGCAGATGGGAAGACCGAGTGAGGAACAAACGGTGCAGGAGGAAAACAGGAGCTCCAGTGAGACGTTTGAGACATGGAGCTGGCAGGTGCACAGGGCAACAGGAAGTAGCCCCGGAGAACACTGGCACAGGGCCCGGGCAGTGGCAATGCCGGGGCCTGGCGAGGTACGGAACACCTGACGGTGCCACTCTTTACACTGCAAAGGTCCTACGGGGACAGGTACCAGCTACAGAGTCAAATGTGTGAGGCCCTGAGTTCTAGCCCCAGCACAACACACACACACACACACACACACACACACACACACGAAAGACCCACACCCGGACACAGACAGCGTATGATGCCCCAATGAAACCGAGCAGCACATGCTCAGGGAATCGGACACACAAGGAAGGGTAAAGACAAGCAAGAAATAATCCACCCAAAATTGGGAAAAGTAAGGGAGAGGAATGGGATAGAATCCAGAGCTACTTAAGAGATGAGAGGTTCTGCTTAAACAACTGGCAGGAGCTGGGCATGCAGCTCAGAGCAGAGCCCTTGCCCAGCAAGCATGAGGCCCTGGGTTCCATCCCCTGCACCTCAAAATAAGTACATAAAAGTGAAAACCAGCTGGAGATGCGCTAGGGCTCGCTGGACCATGGACAAGAAGGTGTGGGCCCCAGTTCAGACCTGCAGGGCCCAGCACATTCCTGCAGATGGCCACCCTGGGTCCTTGGCACCTGCCCTGACCAGGTCCTGGCCTGTGTTCTCTCCGGCCAGCTGGATGGCAATTGGGACCAGGACGTAGCTGGTGGAACAATCTGCCCTGAATTCAGCCCAATAAGCCACTCTTGGCAGAGGTACCAGCACAGCACTGTGGGCAAGAAACGCAGCCAGCAGCTGGACGCAGTGGTGCTCGCTTGTAATCCCAGTGACTCAGGAGGCTGAAACAGGAGGGTCCCAAATTCTAGGCCAACCTCAGCAACTTAGGGAGACCCTCTCTCAAAAATAAAAAATAAAAAGGACTGAGGATATGGCTCAGTGGTTAAGCACTCCTGGGTTCAGCCCCCGGTGCCAAAAAAGAAAAAAGAAAAAGAAATGCAACCAGCAGCCCACTCACGTATAGGAGGCACCCTGGACCCCTATGAAGATGTCCACTCAAGCCAGAGTTTGAGGGTGTGGCTCTGGCCAGGCAGCCTGACCCTGAGGTACGCAGGACAATCAGCCCAACTACACCAGCCAAAACGCCAAGTACCCCCACTGAGAAAACACGGCTGAGCTCTGTAGGCCACGGTTCTGGTCTTCAAAGTCCTTACAATATCGTTGTTAAGACATCAAGGAAAAGGTGACAACGCTAGTGACAAAGTATGAATGTTCATAATGTAGTTCTCCCAATAACAATGTCTATGGAGATCCTGCCATCATCCCCCCAACTACAGTGTCTACCACCCCATTCTAAAATATAAAGAAAGTGAGGTTCAGAGAGGCTGGGTTCCGTGCCCACGCTCACACAGTTGCTGAACAGGTGAAGAGGAGATTCCAACCCAGGCAACTGGCCCCAGAGCCTGCGGTTCTTACTACTTACCTCCCTTTACCTCCCTGCTCCTTGATTGTGTAAGAGAATATTAAACTCAGTGAGCAGCCAAGAGGCCTGAGCTCCGAGCTTCAGAAACAGTGTTTGGGGGTGCTAGAAGGAAGGGGCTGAGCTGGGCTTGGAAAGGAGGGTCCAAGCCAAAGGTCAGGGTTCCCAAAGCCACAGCCAGTACCAGTGTGGAGAGGACGGATGAGGCCTCCAGGGCCTGTGTCCCCGGGTATGTATGCTGGGGGCGGTTAATCTCGCCTCGGATGCAGCCAGGGATGCCTCACAGGAGCGTGGACCCAGGGGAAGCCCATCTTCCAGTTATTCAGGAGAATGCAGAAATCTGGATCCTTAAGTATGATTTGAACCCTGGGCCTCATGCATGTGAAGCAAGTGCTCTAACCCTGAGCTCGCTCCCAGCCCTTGTTTAATTTTTAAATATGCACAAATAATTCAGATTTCTAAAAACTGTTCTGCCTCAGAGAAGTGTGTGTGTGTGTGTGTGTGTGTGTGTGAGAGAGAGAGAGAGAGACAGAGAGACAGAGAGACAGAGAGAGACTGCTTTGCTAGGAACACATCTTGTTTATAATGGAGAAGCAGAGGCCTCCATGTGCAGATCTGAAAATCTGAAATACTCCACACTGGAAATTTTTGAGTGCTCACACAACAGGACTAGTGGAAAAGTTCATGCCCAACCTTGTGACGAGTCACAATCAAAATGCAGGTGCACTAGTGGGCTGTATGCATTAGTATGAAATCACCTCCTGGCTATGTGTAAGGTGAAACTAAGGGACGTTTGCACTTAGACTCAGCTCCTGTCCCCAAGGTATCTCACACGTGCCAACATTCCCAAAACTTAAAAATATCCAAAATACTTCTGGTCCCAAGCCCTTCAAATTAAGGATCCTCAACCTGCGTATCCACACAAACGTCTTAGAGCGGGGAGGTGGACGAGCAAAGAGGAGGCTCAGGAAGACGGAGCCGGCAGAGATGGGGCGTGGCGATGGGATCCACGAGGCAGCGCTGGCTGCATCCAAAGGAAAGAAGGAAGGCAGAGCGGTGAGAAACAGTGGAATGCAAAGCCGTCACTTAGTGGACAAATAAAAACGACCTGGTGGCCGTCTGGATCCACGTTGGCATCCAGACTCCTGATCTGGCGCAGGGGCAGAGCGCTGGCCTAGAGTGCACGGTCCCAGGGTTCGATCCCCAGTACCGGGGGGGAAATTCACAGACTCCTGACCTGGGGCCAGGGCTTACATCCCGTCTTTGGCCCGTGATCTCAGGCAGGTGACACTGCCACACATCTACGTGGACTACCCACCGTACCTTCCTGGCAGGGCTGCTGTGGGGACGGAGGAGTTAACAGAGACGCAGGGTGGGGAGGCTGCCTGCCTGGAAGGAAGGCTGGATAAACATGTCTGGGGGTTCCACGACTGCAGGGGCTGGGAGAGGCAGGCCACCACCACCAGGCAATCAGGGGGCACCGTGGCCATTTGGAAATAGAGTGGTGACGAGAAGTAGCTGGCGATTCGTGGGAAGAGTACGGTGACGGTGTCAGCTCTAAACCTGCTGACTCTAGAGCACCAGGAAGGCACCCAAAGGGCCACTGAAGGTGTGAGGCCAGGGCTCGGAAAAGACGACACAGGCTGGCGATGGAGCGGGTCCCACCAACCTGAAACACCGTCACCGCCGTCACCGCCGTCACCGCCGGAAAGCACGGCTACTTATCACCACTAAGAAACCAGCTGCCGGGCCGGAGCTCAGTGGCAGAGCACTTGCCTAGCATGTGTGAGGCACTGGGTTCGATCCCTGGCACTATATAAAAATAAACAAGTAAAATAAAGACATCTGTCCAACTACAACTACAAAAAAAAAAAAAACAGCTGCCAATCAACCAAGCCACCCTCGACAGCAAACCCTCCTTCAGAGATGTCCAAATATGAGCAATCATGTCTCGGAGAATCAATAAGCTACAGTAGACTGAAGTATAAAGAAGGGACTCACGGCTTTAAGAACAGATGAATTTTTGATGGAGAGAAAGCAACAGGGTCCTTAAAAGCTCTGTTATCTGCTTACTATTCATTAATTTAGCAAATCCCTAAGTGGCTCTTTTCCTATTTTTATCCTCTCAATTCTCGATTCCTGGGGAGCACGCACGCCATGCGCTTGCTCCCCACTGGGTGGAGGAGAGCTTCCTGATTCCCTCATCTCAAGCTCCCAGGGGTGCACCCGTTTTTAGCACAGCCTGTGCCTTTATGGACCCCGCTCCCACCCTGGTCAGCTCTGCCTTCTGTAGTTCCACTTGAGACCTCGAGAGGAGAGGCCACCGTGCGTTGAGCACGAGGCAGGAGGCGAGGGCTGCCCTGCTGTTGATGCACTCTCCCCCCACCGCCAGGCGTCGGCTCCTGGCCCCCTTTCCCAGGATGAAGGCTGAGGGCTGAAATCCACCAGGTTTGAAAGAACAGAGAAAGCACAAGCAGTTTGGACCACTGGAAGGAGACCCCGTGAACGTGGCTCCCGTCTGTGCAAGTCCAAGGTCCCAGGCACACAGGGAGGCCTGCGGCTCTGTCCCTCACCAGGCAGCTTGTCTAACAAGATGGAAGAAAGGCTGGAGGGCTCTTGGCTTCCTAATTCCACCGCAAAACTATGCTTGAAGGGAAAGAAATGGAAATGCTCTTAAATTTCCTAGAAATAGGTAGTGATTGCACAACTTTGTGAATAACACCAAACCACTGGTCCGCACACAGGGTGAATTTTATGGTATGTAAGTTCTACCTCAATTGTTTAAAATTCTTAGAAAATATTACCTAAAATTGCAAAAAAACTGGAAATAATCAAAATGCCTAATGACAGAATTTATACCACGTATTCTGGGGAATAAACAACTGAACTGAAATATATTACACAGATTTTCAATACAAGGAGATTTAAATATGTGTGTGTGTGAGAGAGATCAATACTGGGAGATTTAAATACGTATATGTGTGTGAGAGAGAGCTAGAAAGAAAGATGAGGTCAGAATAATCGAGTATTACAGACCAGTTACAGGTCCTTATATAACAACTTGACCCAAGTCCCGTGGAATAGACTATGGATACTGCACTCCTCTCCTCCAAAGTTGGAAGGAGGACAGCATTTCCATTTGTAAAATATTTCTGTGAACATTATCTGATTTAATCCTTAAAACCAACCCCAAGAGAGAGGCAGCAGGGGTTCTCAGCATTACCCAGAGGTTGTGCTAAAGGTCACAGCCTTCAGAACAGAACTGGAAACCTTCGCATGGCTTCCACACCACGGAGACCTGGGTTTTCCCAGCAAAACCAGATTTTTAAATTATTATTATCTTTAGTTGTTGATGGACCTTTATTTTATTCATTTATTTTTATGTGGTGCCGAGGATCGAACCCAGTGCCTCACACATGCTGGGCAAGCGCTCTGCCACGGAGCCACACACAACCCGGGCCTCCAGATACATTTTTTTTTTTTTTAGTATTTTTTTAGTTGCCATTGGGCCTTTATTTTATTTATTTATACGCAGTGCTGAGACTTGAACCCAGTGCCTCACACATGCTAGGCAAGTGGTCTACCACTGAGCCACAGCCCCAGCCCCAAACCAGATACTTTCTAAAAAAAGAACTAAGGCTACCTGCCGTCCCCACCAATATCTTCTGGGATCACTAAAATTAAGAAGTGAGGGCCGAGCCGAGGGCAGGCCGGCTGGCTGGCACTTTCTCTGGACAGGAGGCCCGCAGCTGCCCCCAGCTCACCCTGCAGACAGCATGGCAGATGGGCCGGAAAGAGGCGCTGGCCGCAGAGCGAGCTCAGCCTTGGGCACACAGGCGGAAGGCAGGACAGCTGGTGCGTATCTGGGAGGACCCTGGCTGCCTTGGTCCCTTGGTGAGAGGCACTGAAAGGTCACTCCACCCCTCAAAGGTAAACGTGTGCTGTGCTCCTTTTCCCTGTGAGGGGACAGCGACCCTCTCCAGCAGAAGGGACATCCTCAGGAAGTCTCCCTCCTTTTTTCATAAAAAAGAAAAAAAAAAAGGCTTCTGCCCAGAGGAAAAACTGGGGCAGCAGAGACCTTGCCCCTGGGCACCTCCTGGCTGGATGGCCCACTAAGGACAGGCGCGAGGGGAGGCTGTGGAGCGCTGGGCAGGAGCTCGGGTTCACAGGTGCACAGCTGGCCCAGCTCTGACCACTGAACCTTTGCCATTAAAGACCTGGTCTGCAGCTGCCATGAGGGCCAAACAAGGGGTCCTGGCCACACAGAGGCCGAGTGACCTGGCCAAGGTCACTTCTATGGCCCATGCTGCTATCAGGGGAATCTGTGACTCCCGGGGGCCGGGCTGCTGGGAGGACCACCCAGGTCAGGGAGCTGCTGAGGCCAGCTGAAGGATGCTCTCGTCCCTTCCTCCCCTGCCACCCCCAGCTGGTGCAGCAGCCTTGACTCTGCAGCAAACTCCTCCTGGCCAGAGGCTGCGGCAGAACGAAAGGAAGAAAAAAAAAAAAACCCAGCCACAGAGGGGAGGAGCTGGGGAAGCCACTGCCACCCATCTGGATGTGGGTGAACAGGATCGGGAAGACTGAAAATGACCTTGCAGCTACAAGGCTGCTTCCCAGGGACCAGGAGAGCTCCACAGCCCCAGCCCGGCTCGCAGCCCGCCTCTCTGGGCACACAGGGGCAGTCTGGGCCCCTCTGGACAGGGAGCAGCCAGGGCTGCACTCTGCAGGGAGAAGGAGAAGGGGTCTACCAGAGGCTTGGCAGGGGCGGAGGGTGAGACGGGAATGGCCTGTGAAATTGGTCCTTATGATTAATGTTCCGACTGCGGGGTTTGGAATTCTGCCTCAGAAACTCCTACCCATGCTAGGCCCACGGCAGTGGCGCTGGCCTCCCAAGCCCACCAAATTCTGGCAGAGGGTCCTCTCTGCTCCAGCCTGCCTTCCACCGGGCCCCAACATGGGGCTCAGGGCCGGCCGTAGGGGTGGTGCTGCAGGTCCGCAGGACTGTCCTCCCTCTCTAGCCTGGATTAGAGTCCAAAGCAGAACGAGGGAGATGGTGTGAGCAGTGCTGGGTTCACCAGAGCTGCACCAGCCACCTCCTGGGGTGCAGACAAAACCTGTTCTGTCGCACACACACGCACAGATGCCCTATTTCAGAGTACCCCTGGCCGAGGTGGGCCTGGCAGCAGGTAGCCATCCTGTTACTGTTTGGGGTCCTGCACATGCCACTGGCAGAGAAACAGACTGACCAGTGAGACCCAGACCCCAGGAAACCTCAGGCCTGCCACACTGTTCTCTCAGAAATGGATCCGGACTAGTCCCACTGGGGCCACCCTCCGTGGCTGCAGCCCCTGGCAGGGGGCACGGTGGAGCCCCCACTGCCTGTCCTGCTCTGGTCTGAGGGCGTGGTGCCCTGACAGTGGAAAGCACCCTGCTCCAGTTCTGGAGCCATGAGAGCCACCCACAGCAGCAGCCTTGCAGACATGGTCCCCAGGCCTCTCCCTGAGACAGGAACAGCCAGCCCAGGCAGGTGCTGGGTTCAAACCCAAGATCCTCCTTCCACAGGCTCTCCTCAGGAGGAGACCTGCCCAGGCCTCTGCCTGCCCTTCTATAAGAGGAGGCCAGTAAGTCTGGTCCTCAATCTTTCTGGCTAGGACAGTCAGGCCTATAGTCTGCCTGGCCCCTGGCTCCACACAATCCTGCAAAGAAGCCACTAATGGGACGTGACACAAGGCGGCAGAACTCAAGGTAAGTGCGCCAGACACCGCGGCTCTTCCCACCCCACAGCAGGCAAAGGAAGTTGCTGCCGGGAAAGAGGAGAAGAGACCCGTCCTCCATCCCTGTCAGGGGCTGGGCAGAGCCAGAGCAGAGAGAGGCGCAGGCGCCACCCACTGGCATGCAGCAGGGTGGCAGGGCCCCTCCTGCCTGCTCCACATCTGCAGCTCCACTGCGCAGCTGAAGCAGGGCCAGGCCACGCGCAGCCCTGTAGCAGCACATCACATACACAGGCTCAGGACACCGCCTGAGCCCTGCTGAGCACCAGGAGGGGTCATCTGGAAGGGCTCAGGAGGACCTGAGACCACGAAGGCTCACAGTGGGAGCAGGGGGAACAGGACCGGTTCTTTGACGAGCGTCCTGGAGTGGAGAAACCAGCACCTCTAAAAGACGTCCTCCAAGGCCCGGCTCAGAAGTCCCACCCTCCCACCTCACCTGCCCCATGGCACTGCCTGCCTGTATCCCCTGGAGAGTTTGTCCCTCATCCCCAGTAGTCTGTGAGGTGGCAGGGCATGGAGGCTGGGTCGCCCACCACCCGAGGCCCGGCCCAGAGCGAGAAAGCCGAAGAGCAGCCCCGGAGGAAAGAAAGAGAAAGAGAAAGGCCTCTGGTGCCCCAGGTCCAAAGGCTCAAGGCCTCCCCTCTGGCCAGGTCCACACTGCAGGGTGAGAGCGTGGAGTGGCCTCCAGGATGGCCCTGCTGCTGCGGAAGGCGGCCACAGGGCTGGCTGGACAGGAGGCCGCTCTGAGGCACCCTGCAGTGTGCTCGGCCGGGAGCCAGGACCGCACTGCTGTCCCCAGGACCAGCCTCCACGACTCCTGCTAAGGACCTTGGGCATGCCACCAAACCCCATCTGTAAGAGAGACCAGTAAAGTCCCCACTTCATACGGCTGTTGGGGGACTTAAGGAGACAATAAAAATCACTTTTATTATCACTGGGTAACAACCAATGCTTTAAATGCAGTCAGTGCTCCAAACCTGAGCTAACTGATGCCAGAGCCCACGCTACCTTAGCTGTCACCATCCACAGATGAGGGAGTAAGGTACCAAGGTCACCTGCTAGAGGCAAAGACAGGCCTGACCCTCGGGTCTCCCAACCCAGGTTGACGCCATCCGTTCAGCATTTGATTAAGACTTCCAGGGTGGGTGCCCCCTGGGACCCCCTGTCCCAGGACAGACAGAAGGACAAGTCCAAGACAAGGGCTGCACTGTAGATGGAGGGGAGGGGACTGCCATGAGAGTTGGGGGTGGGCCTCACAAGGCAGGCAGCAAGGCCTCCTATGGACAGCGAGAAGGAGGATGGAGCTGAGCCAACACCTGGGGGGGAGGTGGGCGGGGGGCTTCCCCCGCAGGAGTGCCACTCCCGCAGGTACAAAAGCATGCAAAGCCCTCGCGCAGCTCTGATGGTCACCCCCACGCTCACGGAACACCCAGGTCACTGCCAGCATTTATCGCCCGCCAGTTGTTTCAAAGGTCAGTGCCAGGCGTACACTGCTGGTCCAAATGCCCCCTGAGGGCAGCAGGGGTGAGCTGGGCTGGGCCAGCATGCATTCTGTGGGCTGGCCCCGTGCAAATGCACACAGCAGGCCCTGGAGGGAGACCCCACACACCAGCACAGAATCTCCCTGGGTGTCAAGCTGGCCAGAGTGCAGGGGCCCACGCTTCCCCAGATACCGGCCCGCGAGGCCCAGGAGCCGCACACCTACCTTCTGCATCCACTGTCTCCTTCATGATAACCTCCACCCGCTCCACGTGGTGCCGGTTCCAGAGGCCGTCCAGGACCTGGCGGTTCTGGTCTCGGAAGGGCAGGATCTGCGCCACCACCTGTCAGGGAGGAAGCCTGGTCATGATGGTCATCCTTCTCAGGATGAAGAAGAAGAGGGCCTGGCCCTAAGGGCTGTAGGCCTTCTACTCCCTGGTATTCTCTGGCCAGTGGCTTCTGGACTTCAGGGGTTTATGGCCCAGTAAAGACTCCACATGCTTTTAAGTGACCAAAACAGAGTTACCAGCCAAAAAAAAGAACATACTTAAAATTATTTATCTTCGATGGCTATCAATTTTTAATAAAATACACTTTAATGCCAAAAACACAGCATGAACACTTCAGATTGAATGCATTCGGTATTGCTTTTCATTTTGCAGTTGAGACGTAAGAACCTCACCAGGACTGGCTCAGGTCTGGGGACCACTACTTGTAACTAGTACTATGGCAACTGCACACAGGACTGGGTGACGAGCAAAGCCTTTGCCTGGGCAACTACCTGGTGTACCACACAGGACCTGGCTCTGCAGCCCACGTACCAAAGAGGGCAGGTGCAGTACACTCTCTGACAGTGTCACTGGGACTGGACACCCTCAGGCCCCGAGGCCTGTGCAGAATGAAATGGCTGCTGACCTGCATCCCTCAGGAGATCACCCTAAGCTCCTGCCTCTGAGCCTGATTTAGATACCCAGACTTAGGGTCTTCTGGCCCCTATTCAGTTTTAAGATCTTGTCACCAGCCTTCTGGATCAAAACAGATTTCAGAAAGGAAAATATATATATATATATATTTTTTTTTAAGGCTGACAGGTACAAGACAGAAAAGCTAATTCTAAGTCCCACAGTATCCGCAATAGAAAACCGGGTTCCGACAGCAGAGGCCCTGAGCCACCTCTGTAGAAAAGCAGGGACAATACGGGGAATCAGCCCAGACACGGGCTGAGAATCAAAAATGTCGGACACAGCAAGAGCAAGAGGCTGAACACACAGACAAGAACCAGCAGTCCTGCCTGCGGCTGGCTGGTGATCTGCACCTACGTGCACCTACTGCCCACCGCAGGGAGGCCGGGTGGCTCAGACTTCACAATGCCCTCCAGCCTGGTTCCACAATTAGTGGTGCAGCCCTGCTGGTGGGGGCCTTGGGACCAGGTACACCCAGCCCTGGCAGGCTCTGAGTTGGAGCTCACCTGTTTGCCCAGGTAATGGTCCACACGGTACATCTCCTCCTCTTGGAAAAAGCTCCCAAGTTCTGTAGCCAGCTGCTGGGCTGAGAGGTGGTCATGGCCAAAGGGTTTCTCGAGGACAACCCGCAGCCAGGCACCCGGGCCTGGCCGGCAGCTGCTGTTGATGTTGCGGGCAATGTCTGCATAGGCAAAAGGCGGCACCGAGAAGTAGAAGATCCTGCCAGCCTCGCGGAGGCCCTCCCGCTGGACCTGAGCCTCAATGTCCTTGCTCAGAGTCTGATAGTCCTCGGCTGTCTTCAGTTGGCGGTACTGGCTCAACCGCAGGAACTGACCCTTGAGTTCAACACACCGACTGGGAGTCACGTCCTGGGGGCAGGAAAGGGATTCCAGGGCCTTGGTCATGAGCTCCTGGCCCTGTTTGGGGGCCGTCAGGGCAGCCCCATGGAAGCTGAAACTGTGGCCCTTCCCGGCCTCGTCCAGGTACAGCTGGAAAAGTCCCTGCCACAAGTACTTCTTAGCCAGGTCCCCAGTTGCTCCCAGCAGGATTATGGAGACATGTCCCTGGAGCTCCTGGGCCTGCAGGTAGCCCAGAAGGGTCACACACACAGCCACTGTGAGCATCTTCCAACTGCCTGGGAGCCTGGGATACAAACAAGGAACAAGGAAGGCCAGACATGAGCAGGTAGCCGTGTCTAAGGTAGCAAACACTTCCTGCCTGGCGAGAAACGGCCACACATGTCTCAGAAAAGTGTCACAGCTCCCCCAGCTTCCCTCTCCTTCCTAGGCAGCTGGGCTTCTGTGCAGGAAGTCAGTGGAGAGGGGGCTATCAGATGGTTGCACACACAGGTGTACAGAAGGGGAAACTGAGGCTTGAAGAAGAAACTGAACTTCGAAAATGCCCGGAAGAACTTGCCAGCTTACCGCCCACTGTCCCTGCACAGAGGGGACCAATCTGCCTCTTGACTTGACGTCAGACCCTCTCCCCCTCTGCATCTTCCTCGTGTCTCCAGAGATCCATTCCCAAGATGGCCCTTGTCATGGCCAAACCAAGAGGAAGGCCCATGGTGTCTGTCAGTGTCCACGGGACGCCTGACATTTCCATCCACCCAAGGCCCGCCCAGCTGGCCTGCCAGCCTTCCTCTCTTGCTCTTCAAGTATCTGCACTTCCCCACAAATACACAGATGGACTTTCTTCCGTTTCCCAACCCCTGTCCTTGGCCCCTTGGGCGTTTCTTTCTCAACTAGCCATCTCCCTGTCCAGAGGGAAGGACACGTTGCAAGGTCAGTGCGGAAAGCGGCAGGGAGAGAAATCTGAAGCCCAGAGAGCAGCCTGGAGAGGGAGGAGGTGCCAGCTGGCGAGCTGCGCTCCAACTCCTGAAGGTTCCTGCGAGCCAGGCTCAGGACACCTCTGTCACAGGGACAGGCTCGGGACACAGGGACAGGCTCGGGACACCTTTGTCACAGGGACAGGCTCAGGAAACTCAGCGGCTGATGGGCAGGTGGGGAGCCCAAAGCCAGCACCTCTGCCCTGCCCCCAAGAAGACTGCAGATATCCAGACACCCAAATGGACAGCATCCAGCCCTCTGTCTAGCGCTGTCCCACCCTCAAGACCTGCCCTCACCACCAGCCCGGGTCCCGCCGCTCTCAGGTTAGCTTATCTCTTGTTCACATTCCAGAACTCCCTGAAATACAGAGTCGGGTATTTCAACATGATTGCTCACTCCATGGTTGCTAAACCCCTAGGGAACAACTCCTCCCCAAGAGGGTGTGGGTGCTACATTTGTGTGCACTGAGGTTTTGTTTTGTTTCTTTTGAACCTGAAGCAGTTGCTCAAACTTTAATGTGCACTTGGATTTCCTTGGGATCTTTTTAAAATGCAGATTATGATGCAAAAAGGTCAGAGCTGAGGCTGGTCCAAGGGATCACCTATGGCAAGATTCCCGGATGCTAAGCAAGGTCAGTAACAAAACACACAAGCCTGGTCCTCCCCCTGCCAGGACAATGTGATTCAGCAGGTCCAGGACAGGGCAGGTCCAAATGGTATTTCTAAATAGTATCAAATGGTTTAACTGGCCCCTTCCCCATAACAGTGGGCCGCTGATTCCTGGGCCGAATAGTAACACCTACGTTGAGCAAGCAGTGGTGCAGGTGACTGACACGCACGGCCCTGCATGTTGATGCTCTTTGTACAGATGAGGGAACTGGGAGCTGGAAAGAGCTATGAGGCCCCAGACCCAACCCCTGGGTCCCTACACTAACCTACCTCCTTCCTCAGTGGAGGAACGTGTTGGGGTCCCGTGATGGGGGCTCAGCACCATCTCCCAGCAGGAAGACCTCACTAAAACACCTGATCAGTTTCTTTATCTATAAGAGGAGGCTGACTGAGGTGGGGGTGGGGGTGGGGAGTGAGAAGGGGCTGACCCAATCAGTGTGACCAAAAGAAAAAAAAAGCTTATACAAATGTCAACTAGTTAAGCTGATTAAACTAAAGCATCTCCAGACCCCTCTTGGGTTGCAGGACCGCAACCTGGAGATGATTTCCTCATCTCCAGGGACACCCAGCCCAGCTCTCAGACAGCCTGCGAACAGAGCCCGGAGCCACGGAGCACTCCATCTAGTCCCCACTGCACACCAGACACCCTCCAGGGTACCCAGACACGCCCAGTGAAGTCAGGAACAGGACCCCAGCCCCCGGAGCAGGGGTGAGGTGCAGGGAAGACGGATGGATCCGGCACACTCCCCCTGGTCTACACAGCTCTGTCACACCGTGGAAGCTATGTGTTTGATGGCTTTTTTCTAAGCACTTGCTTCTCTCTCTGCTCTGAAAGACATGGGACACTTGAAGTTAGGAAAAGCAAAAACAAAACCATGGAAATGGCTCCAGCAACTGATCCAACTATGAATTTTCTTCTCTATTTTTTAAAGTAAGAAATCAATAGTCAGGTGCAGCGGTGCACACATCAATGCAGGAGGCTGAGGCAGGAGGATCATAAGTTTGAGGCCAGCCTCAGCAACTTAGCAAAACCCTGTCTCAAAATTAAAAACAAGCTGGTGGTAGAGCACCTCTGAGGTCAATCCCTAGGACAAAAGGATTTGGGGGGAGGAGGAGGAGAAGATGACAATAAAGCTGGCCATGGTGGTACATGCCCAAAATCCCACTGATTTAGGAGGCAGAGGGAGAAAGATGGCAAATTCCCGGCCAGCCTCGGCAACTCAGCAAGACCCTGTCTCAAAATAAAAAATAAATAAAATGAGCTGTGGGTGTAGCTCAGTGGTAGAGAACCCTGGGTTCAATCCCCAGAAATAGGGGGTGGGGGAAGAAGAGGGAGAAAGATCAATCGATAAGAAAACCCTTAGTGAAAAGTTTGAGAGAAGTGTAGGACAGGAGGACAGAGTCTCAGCTTGGGAACTGGAAAATGGGGCCATTCCTGGAGGGGCCTTCCCCCAGACAACCACCTACTGAACAAGTTATCCACCCGGCGGGGCCTCAGCTCCCTCAATGGGGAATGGGGTCTGCACCACAGCGTGGGCACAGTCCTGCACTGCCCCTCAGTCCTGTGCTTTCCAAGGAAAGGAGGTGGCCACCTATTGACAGGGAAAGTCCTGTACAGCAGGGAGATGCTCAGAGCCGTGGACCACCCAGCAGGGCTGGGAAACATGGGACCAAATTATGGTCAAGGAGCTGATAACCGAGTGTCATTCAGAAGTTCAGACAAAGCTCTTTGAAGGGACAACTTAAGAATGTGGAAGATACAGTTTCATTCTGATTCTTAGACAAGAGGCCAGACAGAAATGCAGCCGGGTGGCAGGGGTGGGGGCTCTGGAGGGCACAAGGCACCTTGGGCTGCCCAACTCTGAGTCTCAGCTGCCACCCTGGGAGAGACTCACCTGTTAGACAGGGCCTGCTAACATCCCAGAAGGCGGGCGTCCCAACAGCCAGCCAGGGGGTTGGATCAGAATGCAGCTCTGGCCTTCATTTTACCCCCTGGAAGAGGCAGATATGGCCAGAGCCATGCAGCTGTCCCTGCCCAGGCCCAGCACGGGCACAGCCAGCCAGTGCCTGAGCTCCAGTAGCAGCAGAGTGGTTTCTGGTCAACCACAGGAGGAAGCCGTTCTGAGCCCTTATGCCAGCAGAGGAGGGCGGGGGAAGGCACTGGGAGGTTAAGGTCAGTGCTGCCTGCCCCCGTGGACACTTAAAACTCTGACACTAACAATGCTGCCAGGAAGGAAGAGCTTATGAGTCTGAACTTTTAAAAAGAACACATGGGAGAAAAGTAAGAATTCAGACCAAAGATCTCTTAAAACTGAAGCATAAGGTGAGGGACACCCTGCCAACCCAAGTATCTTTGCTGCACATTCCCTTCTTGCTCTGCCCCCACAGGTGCCAAAACTCAATTGTGATGCAAGATCAGTGGACTTTGATCTGTACTGGTTCCCCGCAGGGAGAGACTGGGCCAAAAGCTTCCTGACCCAGCTGTGAGGGCCTGACCTAAGGGAATCCTCATTCCCAACGCCTCTTGAGATGGCAAGTGTGGGCCGTACAATCAGCCGTGCACTGGACCACTTCACACTCACATGAAGGTCCACTGCTGAGTTGTCAGGAAACTGTCCAGCCTGTTTTTAAATACAGCCATCATCAACACGGAATATATTTATATGTAAATCGTACTAAAAACAAAGGTGATAAACACTCAAAACTCATAACCTCCTAATCATTTGGCGCTTTTTTTTACTATTATGTATGCTCTTGACATTACTTATTGCTACAGGATCTATAAAGTGAAGACCTTCTAGAACAGGGCGTGCCTAAAGTTGGCCAATGTGGGAATATTTATGCAGACATTGGAAAGGCTATAAATAAGACTCCCCAGCACCAACTCCCCCACCTTGCACAGCCAGCTGTTAAACATTTACTAGCACACAACCGCCCAGGTAACCAAGCCTGTGTTCCCAGTATGGACATCCCCCACTCAACTCCAGACTAGTACCATCAGGCACTGCTGACCGCATTAGCTGTGCATCTATCTACCAGACTTAATATGTTCAAAACTGAACTGAGCCATCCCCCAACCTAGTCAAATGAACTCTCCACCCCCTACCTCCCACCCCCGCTCTCTTCTCAGTAAATTGCAACTCTCCTCTTCTAGGTGCCCAGGCCACTAATCTTGGGGTCATCTGATCTGATGGTAAATCTTGTAGTTTCTATCTTCAAAATTTATCTAGAATATAACTACTTCTTGCCACCTTCTACCACTCCCCCCATCTGTCTGGATTACTGTGGGAACCTAATTAGCCTCCTGCCTCTAACTCTGGCCCCTGGAGAGTTGCGACTCCACACAGCACTCAGAATGACCTCCTAAGTGCAGGTGAAAGAGTGTCATTCCTCTGTTCAGAGGTCTCAGGCTCCACACATTTGGGCCCTACCCCCGTCACCCCTTGGACCTCTCTTCCTACTTCCTACTCTCTCTAGGTTCTGCTCAACCTGCTGCCTCAGGCCCTTTGTACTTGCTTGCTGTTCCCTCTGCCTGCTCCCCCAACCCCAGTGGATATCCACATAGCTCCTCCTAACTTCAGCTCCAGGGGGCTTCCTCAAGCCACTCCGTTAAGCTGTAAACCCACCACCTCCCTCTTGCCCTCTCTGCTCTCCTCCCTGCTTTATCTTTCTGGGCTCACACTGCTTTCTAATGTACTGTTTGATGACGACTTTGCTCATTGCCTGCTAGTCCCCCCTGCAGGAATCTCAGTCCAGTGAGGACAGGGACCGTGGCTTGTTTGGCCCACTGCAGCAGCCCAGTCTCCAATGGCCTGGTTCACAGGAGGCACCCTGTAAACATTTGCTGAAGGAACCAATAAGTAAATCCCGTTTGCACAGGTCTGCTGTCACCTTGTGTGCACGGTACCTGCATTTGAGTGACAGCACATTGGAATGAAGCTCTCCTGGTGACTTCAAGCACAGGGACAGGGCACACATCGGCAGCTGGTTACCACTACTAACAATACTAACTTAACAATACTACTAATAACAAGAGCTGTGGAGAGTACTGAACGGCATGCCAAATGCTAGGCTCGGAGCTAGACATGGATCCTGTCACTTAATCCTTTCCACAACTCTGCAGTAGGTCCTTCCATCAACCCTGTGTTTGGTCATGAGAGGAAACTAAGGTGCAGAGAGGTAAGATAACTTACTGACAGTCAGCGTAGAGTGGACAGGGTCTGCGTACAAGCAGTCTGGTTCCAGAGCTAAACTCTCATCCACCTGCACAAAGTGTGGCTACATCCTCAAGGGCAAAATGAGAACATGGCATGGTCTGCTCCTCTGTAAGGCTGGACCATGGGTGGCTGAGGCCACACAAGCCATGTCTCTCACACAGGCCAGCCGCTATAGCAGCTCTGCTCCATGAGGTCAAGTCGCCCTGAACACTAATGGCTGCTAATCAGCCTGGGCCTCACATCCACAGTGATTCACACTCGTCCTTCTGGCACTGCACAGGCATCTTGCTGAAGCCTGAGGTGCTCTATGAAAACCTGGACGTCCCTGGAGGCTAGTTTCTGGAGAACTGGTTGAGTGAGAGAACCCTGGATTCAGCTCTGCTCTGACGCTCAACAGCAGGGTGACCTCAGACAAGACATTTAACCTCTTGTATGTACCTCAACCACAGAATGGGAAAACAAGTTGATTACAAGGGCACATGGAGATATTCCGCAGGAGGCATTTGGGCAATGCTTGGGAACAGTGAGCACTCAAGAAATGCAAGCTTTTATCACTGAACACTAGCTCTTCTCGCCAGCTTCTCAGAACTGCTGCAAAACTTTTTAACCGTCTCACAACAGAAAAAATGCCAAGGAACAGCGCAGGACAGTTCATCAGGGTCTTCCCATCCTACCAATGAAAAAGTAAAGGGTACAATGCTGGCAGGGTTAAAAGGTCCTGGCCAGAAAAATAAAAAAGAGGGACAAGTGCAAACCCCCCATTCAGCAACCGTAGGCCCTCCACTGAACTGTTCTGGGCCTTTTTATCCAGATGCAAAATGGGGATAACCTCCATATTTTTATTGGTACAGGTAACGTGCATAATGGTAGGACTTGTGGCCACATATTTGTACCTACACGTATTACAACAATATAATTTGGCCAATACCACTCCCAACATTTCTGTCCTCTCTCCCTTCCTCCCTTCCCATAGCTCCTCCTCCTCTACTGATTTCCCTTCTATTTTCATGGGATTCCCCCCCCCCCACACACACACACACACTCATTTCTTTTTCTTTCTCCTCTAGCTTTCAAATATGAGAGAAAACATACAACCCTTGACCTTCTGGGTTTGGCTTAGTTAGCTTAACCCAATGTTCTCCAGTTCCATCCATTTACCAGCAAATGACATAATTTCACTCACTTGATGGCCGAATAAAACTCCATTTGCATATATATCACATTTTCTTTATCCATTCATCCATTGATGGACCCCTAGCTGGTTGCATAGTTTGGCTATTGTGAATTGTGTGCATGTATCTCTAGAGTATGCTGACTTTAATTCTTTAGGGTAAATACTGAGGAGCTGACCTATCTCATTGTAATGTCTGGCCAGAGCAAGCCAAATCAGGGCATAAGTATGCGGTGGGAGGACATGGTGGTGAGAGATCTCCCAGGCACCTGACTCCCAGCCCAGGACTGCAAATAGTCACATGACACTCCTGCTCTGACAGGTCAGGACCCTGGGTTAGAGCCTGGCAGACTCCATGAGGAGGTCAGCAACAAGCAGTGACACTCTGGCTTATTCAAATTCCATAAGTAAAGCAAGAAGTGACTCGGCTACAAATGATGGAAGAGAGGTTTTTCCTTTCAGTTTCCCTCTGTTGGCTCAGATTAGTTTCCCTTTGAAATGGCCCAACCTTCAGACAGTAACCTAACTTAGTAAACTCCAGCCTTTGGATGAAAGTGAATTGTCTTTCTGTAGTGTGGCTTTCTGTTAGCAGTCATGTGTTTCAAAGACACTTCACACACACACACACAAAAAAAAAAAAAAAAAAAATTGAAAAATGAGCTCTACTCATGCCAAACACCGCACTTTGATCTCGGGTGTTCCTAAAAGGTATCAAAAGATGAGTCTCATAATAAACTCAAGAATACTACCAATCACCCATCGCTGCAGAAAATGTAGAATAGAATCTTAAATATGCCCTGTCAATAGGAGTTTTCTGTCATCTGCTACCTTTCACGACCACGGGGGTGCGGTGGGGGACAGAGCGTGGCCTTGGGAGATCTGGCCATACAGTCCACGTCGGGTGGGCTGGTTGTCAGAGACCACGGGCCGGTGCACCGGGACGGAACCGAGGCCAGGCCACAGCGTAAACGCCGCAGAGGGAAAGCCGCGCCGGCCCCGCGGGACGTCGCTCCCGGAAGCCTGGAGGGGACGCTCGGGGCCCGGGCCTGGCCAGCTCCACTGGCCGGCCACCAATCCCCAGGCGGTCGCGGCTGCTCCGCTCTCGGCAGGAGGGCCGCGCCGGGGCTGGGCGGTGGTGGAGGCTGGCGCGCGGGCCGCGAGCGCCGGGGACGCCGGCCACCGCCTGGCCAGGCTCGCGGCGGGCTGGCGGGCGGCGGGTTATTCATAGAGCAGCCCCGAGAGGGCGGGGGTGGCAGCTTACTTCATCTCGCTCGTCACAGCCCGCCGCTCCTCCGGGAAGTGGCGGGCAGCGGGGCCGCGCCCGGGGGCTTCGGAGCAGGCCTGCGCCCCGCGCCGCGCCTCGCCTCCTGCGCCCGCCCTGCAGGTGCGCGCGTCGCGCGGGCCCGCGCCTCCCGCGCTCGGGGTGCCCGGCCGCCGGGTCGGCGAGAGCGGGGCGCGCTCCCCAGGCCAGGCGCCGCAGACGCGGGGACGCGGGGACGCGCGGCCGCAGGGCCCGGTGGGCAGGCCTCGGGCCACCGCGGCGCGCAGGGCGGGGCCCGGGCAGGCCACGCCCAGGTCCGCGGGGGGCCTCGCGGGGGGCGGGGCTCAGCTGCCTCCCGGGTTAGCGGACGAGGCCGGACTCCCTCCCTCCCATCCTCAGCCTCCCCTCGTCCCGGGCTCTGCTGTCCAGCGTAGGGATGCCTGGCAGCGTCTCCAGGAGATGCACAGCAGCTGATGGTGTCCTGGAGGAGACCGGCAGCGGGTTGCTGGCTCCTCCTCTGAGACCGGGAACCGCTTACCTGGCCTCCCAGGCCTCGCTTTCCCCCACCCTTAAGGTGACCTGCTGGGTCCGCCCGGGGTCGGTATCCACAGGTGGCGGATCTTTTCCTTTCTCCTCTAGCTTTCAAATATGAGGGAAAACATACAACCCTTGACCTTGATCTCCTGCACCTTATTCCAGTGGCCTTCGTCTATACAGTGGGGACAATGAGAGCACCTGCCTCAGGTTGTCGGCACAGGTGGCTGAGTAATTGGCAGCTTGTACCTGTGTGGCTTAAAGATAGACAGTGAGCGGAAGATAGTGTTTAAATGGGATAACAGGGTCACTGCCTCTTGAGCACCCCAGCATGGTGATTTCTGTCCTCCATCCCTCCCTCACCCTGCCCCAACCTCCAGTCCAACCTCGAGCCTGCTTTCCTCCCAGCCCTACTGCTCTGCCAGTGCCCCTGATGGCCACTGAAGAGGCTGCTGCCGCCCGCCTCCGTGGCCCTTTCTCCCAACAGATAGCAGTGACCTGGGGCCCGTTAAGGCAGGGCTGCTGCTTCACTGGTCAGTCCAGAGTCCCCTCCTGGACATGGGTACCCTATTCCCACTCTTGGAGCATCTTAGTCCTGTCCCTTCTTCACACCCACCCCCTGGCCACCCCAGGGCCAGAGTCTGCCTGGTCACCTCTGCTGAAGAACACTGGGCCACCCTGGAGAGGGGATTCTGAACTGAGAAAACTTACAGCAGCTTTTTATCTCAGGACAGTTCCCTTAGAGGAGTGTCAGGAACCAGGAGAGGAACCTGGCATCGATGGCCCAGCTACGTGGGGCCAACAGACGTGATTACCACACAGGATGTTGGGCAAGGGAGTTCCAGGAAGACGGGGGAGCAGAGGGACACCAAGCCCTCTGCGCCTCAGCGAGGATTTAGGTCATACCCAGCAGAGTCTGGGGTGGGAATGGGGACAAGATGCCAGGCACCCTCTGGGTGGCCTCCACACCTGGAAGTGAGCAGGAGGGTCCAAGGCATGGGATCAACCAAACAGGACAGGGGTCGAGCTTAGAGCCCTGCCTACATCCCATAGCCCTGTGAAACACAGCTGTGAAAACCGGGACCAGGGAAGGCACAGGTGGGAGTGGACAGGTGCCCAGAGACTGAGATGAACCAAGGGACGTGTCCCAGACTTCTATGCAGCCATCCATCACAGGGTGATCTGTTACCTTGAGAACCTCTTTTAAAATAGCACCCCTCCTCAGAATTCTGTTCCTGTTTCTATTCATCAATAAATCATTATCTTACTGATAAAAAATAAAATAGCCCCCAACCCTGTCAGCTTCACTAGCTTTGTAAGGAAATGCCCCCGTGCCCCCTTCACTGGGTATGGTTGGGCGGGGGCTGAGGAGGGATGAGCCTAGTGTCGCACCTGTTCTCCCAGTAGTCTCTCCTCTCCCGCGCCAGTGTGAGATGATCTGCCTCTGCTTCCTCACCTTGTCCCATCTCAGTCTCATCCCGCCTCGTGCCTTCTAGTTGGACCTGGGCAATTGTTTCACTGTGTCCACTACGGAAACAAGTTGGTCTTGCTACCTCTGACCCCAGCCACCAAGGGGTGAGTCTTGCTTCCCAGTAACTAAAATTACAGCCCTGTCCATGTGGGCCTGGTGATTGGCTCCAGCCCCTTGGCCTCTCTGAAGTTCTGTCCATCCATCTCTGTGCTGACTGCAGCCACTAGACACAGCTGGCCACCAGTACCGCCGTCACCAGGAACCAGGTGTGCCCACAACCCTGTGAAAGAAGCCAGAAGGAAAGAGGGTGCCCCTGGAGGAGGGGGAACCCTGTGACCAGATTGTCTGTGGTTTGTCTCATGCTGCATAAGAAAGGCCCCGGGGCTGGTCATGGAGCTACTTAGGTTTGGATTTTCCTTCCTGGTCTTTGAACTTGGAATAGGCCAAAGTCAGGGTTAACTCAGCCAGCTTCAAACCACGGAAAGTGAGGCCCAGCGAGATGAATGACTCACAGAGATGTCTGTGGAGTTAGAAATAAAGTCACGTTGCAGTTTCTATTTTCAGGTACCACTCCCTAAGTCAGCGCTACTTGCTGGCTCCGTGCTTTTCGCAGGGGGTGGGAGGGGAGGGAACAGGTGCCGTAGATTTCAGCCACATGTAGATCTTCCCATCCCCGGACACGAGGTGTCTCAAAACTTTTTTTTTTTTTTTTTAATTTTTCACAATTGGCTTCGTAAAGTAATGATGATTTAGTTTTTATTGCTGCCACAACAATTTACCACAATTAAGCACAGGTTTATTTTCTCACAGTTGCAGAGGTCAGAAGTCGGACCTGGGTCCCACTGGGGTGAGGTGCTACGTGGAGAAGCCATTTTCTTGTTCACACTGTGCATTAGGCACTTTCTGCCCAGGGCAGAATTCAGTGCCTAGTGGTTTTAAGAATAAAATCTCCATTTTCCTTCCGGCTTCAGCTGAGAGCTATCCCAGCTAGGAAGGTCCTTGGTTTGTGGGGCCTCCCTCCATCTGCTAGGCCAGCAATGGAAGGTGGGGTGCCTCGAATTCCTCCTGCTTTTATCAGGGTCACCTCTGACTCAGCTGGGAAGGGGTCTCTGCTCATTGGACTGGATTAGGGACATCTGTGTAATCCAAAATACTTTCCCCATCTCAGAAGCTGTACCCTTAATCACATCTGCAAAGTCCCTTAGCTTCGGCATCTGGACTCCTTTAAGGAGTTATTACTTTGCCTACCACAAATTACAAATTTACAGATGATTCCAACCCCCCCTTGTGTGTGTGGGTGGGGGGTGGGGGGTGTTCCTGGGAATGGAACCTAGGGCCTTGCACATGCTAGGTGTGTGCTGTACTTTTGAGCTCCATCCCCAGCCCTTTCTATCTTTTATTTTGAGACAGGGTCTCACCAAGTTGCCCAGGCTGGCCTTAAACTTGAGATCTTTCTGCCTGAGCAGCTGGAATTACAGGCTCAACCCTTCTTGATTATGCAGGATCTTTATCACATCAATTTTTATGAGAACCTTATTGAGATAATAAGATAACCTTATTCACATTCTATACAACTCACTGACTTAAATGTGCAACTCAGTGGTTTTTAGTATGTTCAGTTGTGTGACCATCTCCACAACCAAGCTTAGAACATTTTCATCACCCAGACAGGGATCCCTGCACCCATTAGAATCACTGCCTATTTCCCCCGAAACTTCTCAGCACCTGGAAATCACTAATAGGTTTTCTGTCTCTATGGATTTGCAGATTCTGAACATTTCATAGAAACAGACCGTACAAATGAGGCCTTTGTGTCTAAACATACCTGTGTCTGTCTGTATGTTTTCAAGGTTCATATGTAATTATAGCATGTATCAGCATTTCACCCTTTCTCGTTGCTAAATAATATTTCATTGTATATTCTTACAATAAATAATTTTTAATAGTGATTAATTGTACTTAAATAAATAATGTTTAATTGCATGGATCAAACACGTTTGCTGATTCATTCATCAGCTGATGGACACTGGGGTTGTTTGTACTTTCTGACTGTTAGAAGCCATGCAGCCATGGACATGTGTGGGCATGTTTTAGGTGGACACATATTTTCATTCTTCCTGGGCATATTCTCGGGCAGGACGAAGGGTCATAGGGTAACCGTATTCTAGCCTCGGAGCCACCATGCTCTTTTCCAAAGTGGCTCCATCTTTCTCTGTTCCCCCGAGTGATGCACAAGGTTCCAGTTTCTCCACATCCTCGTGAGCACTTGCCACCCTCTGAGTTCTGGGTTACAGCCATCTCAGTGGGTGTGAAGGGGCTCCATTGTCACTGTGACTCCCTGACAGCCCACGACTGTGTCTTTCCATGTACTTCTCAGCCATTTGGGCATCTTCTTTGGAGAACTGCCGAGTTAGTTTCTCTGCCCATTTTGGCCGAGCTCAGTTTTCCTTAGTTGTTAGCGTCCCTTCTATATCTAGGTATAAATTCTTTACCAGATACATGATTATTTGCAATTTTTTTCTGCCCTTCCGTGAGTTGTCTTTTTACTTTCCTGATGGAGTCCTTTAAGGTTGAAACATTGTTAATTCTAATGATGGCCAATTTATCTATTTTTCCTTTTCGGCTTGTGGTTCTGGGGATGGGGCCAGGACCCCCCACGTGCAGGGCGAGTCTCTCCCACCCAGCCGCGCTCCCAGTCCCTATTTTTACTTTTCCTGATCCAATGTCATGAAGATTTTTTCTTGTCTTCTAAGAGTTTAATAGTTTGGGCTATTCTATTTAGGTGTTTGGGGGGTTTTGTTTTCTTTTATTTTTGGTGGTGCTGGGGTTGGAACCCAGGGCCTCATGCATGCTAGGCGAGTGCTCTCCCACTGAGCCCCACCTCATACCCCCACGTTGCAGCTCTTGGTCATTTTTGGTTAATTTTTTTGCATGTGATGGGAGGTGGGAGTCTGAGTTCCCTCTGTGGCATGTGCATATCCAGTTGTCCCAGGATGAACTGTTGAACTGTCACATGCTGCTTTTATTCAGAGAGATGCACAATACCAACAGGACCAAAGCACCCGCCCCGTCC